GGCCATAAGGAAATCCTCTTCCCAAATGACCACTGATAAAGTGTAGATAATCCAATAGGTCTAGGACAAATTGCCACATTCAACTCGCCATGGCCAACTGGCCGCAGAACAATTCGCTGTGGAACAAGAGTTACATCAATATCAAAGAAATGGCGGAATAGAATCATTAAAGAAAGGATGCCAAAGGAGAAACAAAATGAAATGTGAATGAAAAAAGTAAAATATTTTTTAATGATTTTAAATAATTAAATTGAATTGTTGTATGTCCCGCACCAAATTGTCCTGCAGCAAGATGACCATGGTGATTTGGCTATGGTGAGTTGTCCCATTTTTGATCCAATAGTAGGAATAATTGCATCAGTCACTGTTCCGTTTCAGTTTATACTTAAAACACAACATAACCTCTTCTATAAAACCAGAAAGTGATTTTTAAGTTTCTAATGATTGCAGAATATTTTCCTGGAGCAACTAAGATGGCATTACCTCTTTATTTCAGTGAAATCAGAACTTATCTTAAAAATAAGCCATCAGAACTTTTCCATCCTCTGAAAATAGAGGTATAGCTTCAGATGGTTTAGAAAAAAAACAGGTCTTTGTTTTCTTCACCATGGCACTCTATATGGGCACTCCATATGGCAGGTAATCTCCAGATGTTATAAAAATATTGTGGGGAAAAAAAGAGTCTTCTTACATATTCAGGAATGGGCTCTGGTGCCAAACTAGCACCATGGGCACTACCAAGCTAATGACATCCTGTCTGTCTGTTCCCATGCCCTATCCAATTTTAGTAATTTTTCATTTCATTAAAAACAAAACAAAAACCCTACACACGGAATGGTAGCATGTTACAAAACATAGCAAACAATCCTAGGCCTAATCTTCATTTTCTAGACTGCCTTGGTTCCCACTTAGCCCTCCAAGCATTTTTTTTTAAAAAAATAACAATAGAAATATCTGAGCCTGGTGTGTTGTAGTTTTATTCATCTATCCAGGAAAACAAAGCAACAAAACGATAACGTGCAATGACAGAGAAATTTGGGAGAATGGGGGAGAAATTTTACCTTTTAGTACATTGATTTTTTTATTAGCTAAACTCATTATAGCAGCCATTAGCCAAATGCACACAATATACTAGGAAATATGTGAGCTTAACTATTAAACAATTGATGGTTTGAAGGTTTCAGGCAAAATCAGGATTTCTTCACAGATTACAAGTGAGAAGAACTTTACCCATAGTCTCACAACAGATTATTCTTACAAGTTTAACCCATATTTTGGCTATTCTGCCTCAATATTGTGAGGCACAAAGAATCAGGTTCTTATGTTAAGAAGATTTATTGCTCAAGCTTATACACAAGAATCTAGTCAACTGATGGTCAGCACTAAAATGGCACCAGATAAGATTCAACAGGGTTCAAAGGGGAGCTGGACTTGGAACATTTGTGAACACAAACTAGACTGAGTTCTCTCTTGACGCCACCCTCAGGCTCTGCCCCTTCTTCTACAAATATCTTCTTGAAACAATATTCCATGCATCTGGTTAAATAGGCTATTATCCTAAATGTTTATGCCATAGAATCATAGATACCTAATTTTTTAGGTCATGGGCACGTTTAGAATTTTGAAAAACTGTCATTGCTAACTGGCAGTTAACAATTTATTCAGTTAATCCAATTTTCTGGGATTGCCAGATATACTGAAGCATGAGTCAATTGACTAAAATATGGTTGAGTAGCCTTTGGTTCATTGTTTTATGCAAACTCACCCATTAGCTAATTAGGTTACTTTAGGTCAACTACTATTTTTCAACCCAAACAATCTCATACCTATCTTTGTTTTATGGAAGCAGGATTAACTTGAATTTCTACAGGAGATGTGTGACATATATATTCAATAAATATAATTAAAGATTTTGATGCGTTGGAAATTATATTAGGCCTCATAATAGCTGTGACGTGATATCATATATTTTCATTTCATGCTACATAGTAGAATATTCCTAATACCTGAGTAATAACAGCTTCATGTCTCGCCATTCTATAATTCAATCCATTATTCAAATACTACTTATAAGTAGTAATATTTCCAAATATCCATAACTTCTGAATGATTAGTCATATTTACTTGGAAGTTTTAGTTGTTATATTAATTAGGGAAAGTAGATTCCTAGCTATCAAACTGAACACATATAATTAAAAGTATTTTACTACCAGATAAATCCTTTTGCCTCAACAAATAGTAGTGACTGGTTAATGTCACCCAGGGTCAAAAAGGAAGCAAGATCAGAGCAGGACAGTACTTGAATGTGAGACCTCTGGAGACAATCAGAATGTTAAATTAGACTGAAGAAAAAAAAAATGACAAATCCTCCTCTCATGTTTCAAAGAAAATTGCATGACGTCAGCAGGCGTCTTTGCTTTACATCCTTTTTTGACATAACACCTGTTGCTATGTTCACACAACACAAATTGGTTTTAGTCTAACGTATTTGGGTGAACCCATCCTATATAGCTAGTTTGCTTCACTGTATCATGAAAACCTAGGATAAACAAAGCATCCATTTGGAATGTCATCCGAGGCAGAACAGGAGTGAAAGTCCAGGTAGTCCTCAAGTAATGACTAATTGTGACCACAATTTCTATCCTTAAACAAAGCATGATGTCATCTGACTGCATTACTTAATAAGAGCAATGCCAGCTGAATCCCACCAGTTGTTAGGCAAGCATCCACCCTGATCCAAGTCACTCCTAGCTTGGTTCCTCTGAACCCTGAGCTCAGTAAGATAAAATAGCTGTCTCCTCTTTAACTACCCCACAACCACCTATCTCCCCACTTTAATATCTCTGTTTTGGCTTCCTTGCGCTCTCCTGCTTCTGCTAGTCTTGCCAATCTTGCTGCCTACAATCTGTTCATCCTACCACTCTGCCAGTTTTGTCATCCTGAGCTCACTGACCTTCATCCATTTTTGAAGAGACCATTGCAGGAGAGACCATTGCAAGAGAGTTGGATAACTATCATTTGGCCTCCAACCATTTTAGGGAAGGTTATTAAGATAATTATGGCAGACAAACTTCACAGTGCTCCAGAAGAAGAAGGTTAATTTGGACCCTTTTCAGGCAGGGTTCAGACCCAGTTGTGGACAATGGAACCATTAGTCAGTCCCTTGGAGAGCGTGGGCTGGGATCTGGATCAGAGTTGGGCATTGCTCTTCATCCTTTTGGATCTCTCAATGACTTTTGATACCATCAGCAATGATAATTTACTGAACCACATATGGGTTTTGGAATGAAGACCCTGTTTGGAGTGGTTCTGCTCCTTTCTCCATAAATGGTTTTAGGCAGTTGTGACTGGACATGAGAGGTTAATCCAATGGACATTTGAGGTGCCACAGGACTTGCTCCTAATTTCTGTTTTTTAATGTCTATATGAAACTGCTGGGTAAGATCATCCAGCAGTTTGGGATGCTGATATTAGCTAACTTAACCATAAGGGAGAGCCTATTCATGCCTGTAAGTGCTTGGTCTAGATGGAAAAGTCTGGATGGAAGAGAAGTTATTGAAGCTGAATCCAACTAGGAGGGAATTCATGTTCCAATACTGTACATCAGGGGTAGTCAACCTTGGCTCTTTTATGCAGGCTCAGGAATTCTGGGAGTTGAAGTCCACAAGTCATAAAAGAGCCAAGGTTGCCTACCCCTGCCCCAAAGAAACAATTTTGAAATGGGGGGGGGTCCTTCTGGGCTTATATGTGATGGATTTTATCTATGAAGGGGTGTCTGTGGTAGATTACCGAAAAGAATGGTTTCCAGGAAGGAGGACACATTCCAAGGAATCAGGCAAGACAAGAGATAACACAGGCTGGAGCTGGGTCAGGGAAAGAGATTTAGGATAGCCACTCCTAGAATCTGCCAAAGAATAACTGTTAGGGTTGGAGTAGTATAGCTTTAGCTTAACAAAATTATTTCTGTATGGTATAAGTAAATAAATGAACTTTGGTTTGGTTGTTCTGTGTTATTGTTGGGCTGGTTGTCCTATCTGGTTCAAGAAGATCTAGCTAGGTACAGTAACTCATGTTTTCATTACCTCCTGATTGGATTACTGCAGTATGCTTTACATGATGCTTATAAAATTCAGAAATTGCAACTAGTCGAGGATATTATAACTTGCCTATTTATTGGCTCTTGATATTGGAAGCATGTAACGCTGATTTTGTGGCCCTTCATTGGTTGCCAGTTGGTACCTGGTTATAAAATAACGTGTTGGTTTGACCTAAAAATTCACCATGACTTAGCACCTGGGCACTTGCAGGAATGCCTGCTCCAGCCAGAATCAACCCAGGTCACTGGAAAGAGCAAACTTTTTGTGGTCTCCCATCTCTCTGGAAGCCAGAGGGGTTAAATTAAAATGTACTGCTTTTCCGAAACAGACTAATGCTCTTGGGATGGTTTTGGGGAAAATGACTGAAAATGGAATTTTTGCAGAAGGCATTAGGCCATCTTGGGTTTTTTCCTTGTTCGTTGCTTTCATTGAGGTTTTCTGATGCCATTATTTGTTTAAATCATAACCTGGACATTTTAACTGTTATATTCTATGCACCCAGTGTTGTTTGAATGCAGCAGAGTATAAATTTAACCAATTAAAAAATGTAGCCATATAGACTAAGCTTGTAGATCAACAAGTCCTATTTTTCTAAAACCATAGTAGAGCTCAGGATGCTAAAACGATTCACAGGCATTCTGCCTACTTCATTTGGCTTCCATGTAATTTATTTTCGTTGCTCGCTTAACAGAAACTTGTGCACATAGAAACATAACAGCATTTGAGGAACTGTCAAAATGTTTTCATGAGTAGTTTATTTCATTAAACCAAAGCAGCAGATTGATAGGCTTGGAACGGATTTATGAATCATGATGGTCTTTCCTCCGTTCAACCGTAAGAATTATAATTAAAAAAAAACAACACTCCAGACTTATTTCCGCTTCCCTTTATACTCTACCCCAGGAGAGCATCAGAAAGCCTGATCGGCATCCAAGTGCTCACCGCCCGACCGTCTGCATGTCCCATGCAAGGAACGGATGCTGGCGGTAAGCCCCTCGCCTCACACACACACACCCAGCTTCCCCCCCCCCCCAAAAAAAAACTACGTCTCCCGACACGCTCAGCCCAGCGCTCTGAGGAACGAGCCAGCTGTTGAGCATGGCGCCTGCGCAATGCTGCGGAACCCGCTTCATAGTACCACACCCCCGCGGAGGGAGGGAGAGAAGCCCGCCCATCTGAAAACCTTCCCAGCAGAGGAGGGGTGAGAGGGTGGGCTTTTCCTTTTTTGCTTTTTACATGTAGGCGCCGAGAATGGAGTAAGCGAGGTCCGCGTAAGCGAAGGGTCGAAAGAGTTTCGGGCTGGAGGAAAGAGAGGGAGGAAGCAGGCGGGCAAGCCAGCCAGCCAGCCAGCCAGCGGTGGTTCTTTCTCAAGGAAGGACCTCGACGGAGGAAGCCAGAGAAAGCAGCGCAAGAATGCACTAAAGGCAAGGGGATTGCTGCTGCGCTGCCGTAGTCAAGACACTAAGCCCGAGTGCCTCCTGAAGCTCCCCATCCTCCGCTGCGGCGTCCTGACCGAGCTTGTCAATGGAGCTGGAGAATATAGTGGCCAACACGGTTTTGCTCAAAGCCAGAGAAGGTAAGGTCGCTCGGCGCGAAGCATCTCCCTCGCTTTCCTCCCCCCTGCCTGTCGCATTTAGACCTGTGCGGAGCAATGCCAAGCGGCGGAGGCGGGAAGGTGATGGTGAAGAGAAGGAGGCATCCTCCGGTACTTGAGCGTGTCGTGGTTTAACCTCCTCTGGATCCGAGCTTTGGGGGAGAACGCGGCGCTTCCAGCCCTGGGCTTTTGAGAGAAGCGGAGCACGCGTTCGCTTAAACCGGGCTGGGAGAAGTGGTTCTTTTCAAGATGCAGTTGCAACACCAGCCCAACTCTCGGTCTCTTTCCCTCCTCCCGCCTCGCCTCTCAAATGTGCGGGGTTTCGCCATGTATTGTTTGGAAAAGGTCAGCGGCGAAGGCTCGCTTCCACGGGCAGCACGTCTTTGCAAATCCGACCAAAGTAGTTCGGGCACCCGATCGGGATCGCCTCAAATGGCACGAGGGGTGTGTGTGTGTGTGCCAAAAGCCCAGAGCTTTGGAGGGGGTCTTTCGCTTTTAAACCAATGTCATAAACACGTCATTGAACCTGGCGGAAAAGAAGGGGAGAGAGAGAGCGCGATTCAAATGTAGCGAGGGCGGAAGGCAATTACCGTACCTTGCAAACTGCATATGAAAAACCTAACCACCACCACCCCGTCCTCCTCCCCCCCCCCCGCCGCCCGCAGCTGTACGATAAAGCCACCAGTTAAAGGATGGGGAAATCTGTTTTTGCATAAGATCCTGGAGTTTGGTGCTGTGTGTGCATATTTGCAAAATCGAACATGTATGGGGCGTACTTGGAGCGGGGAGAGGGGAGCTGCGATCTTGCTGTCAGCCCTGAGTGATTAGCGGAATTATGGCCATTCCGAACTTCCATCCGTGTCACGAGCGATTCTGAATCGGTTTTTACAACCTTTGGTCGCCTGGGTGAAGAAAAGGGTTTCTTTGCTTCAATGACTGGATATCTTCTGTTTCCTTCCTTGCTTTCCCCGGCTCTTCCTGAACCTCTCCGAGGAGGATATGGGGCTTTGCTGAAAGGTCGCTACCTCTGAAAAGCTTAGCTCCTGAGCGCGCAGCTTGCAGTATTTGGAGGGAGCCTTTCCATTCACTGCATTTGATGAATGAAAAAGAAAAATCTCCTAGCTGGCATCACAGGTTCCTATAATCTCTTGTGGCTGTGCTTGGATGTCTTCGGTTAGCAAATGCTAGGAAATTGGGGAGGGGGAGGAGGGGGCTGGCTGGGATGAGCAATTGCATCTGCTTCCAGGAAAGCTGTCCTTTTGAGGCATTTGTTTCCCCTTCTGCGATATCCACTATGTCCTTTAATCAAGTGGTGGGTGGGGTACTTAAAGTCAGCCTCCCCCCTTTTATCTTTCCTTGGCACAGTTTTTTTAAAAAAAAATATCACCTATCTATTTAAAAATACACGCTAATGGTCATTCAGCTGAAGATTCTCAGATCTAATTTGCCTCAAGTGAATAAGAAAGGTGTGATAGAAGGCTGCCTCAGAAAGCCTTTTAAGTGTTACTGAAGTAGTAGTAGAATTAATACACATTCAACTTATATAAATTCGAGAAAACCGCTTCTGATGTTTTATGTGGCTGTGTCTCAGAAGGACCCTATCTAATAAAGTAATTGATCATCCAGTGAACATAGTCATTATGTAATAACCCAGACGATACTTATAAAATTAATTCTTGGGTATAAAAACAAAAAAAGGTGAGGTCATATGCCATGGGAGAAAGGTATGAGAACAATTTGCTTTACTTGAGAAGAGAATTTGATAATTGTTTCCTACAAGATCTCCATCTTCCACGCATCCTTACATATTGATTAAAGCTTTCAGTCCAATGTTTCTATATACTTGAATTGAGGATTAAAAATAAATAAGTCTCATCTCAGCCCTAATGGATCTCTAAAATCAGACCATTTAGTATTTTTAAGCAAGGAAATCTAGTTGCTGATTGAATGCTGAGAAAAGTGGTCACAGAACATCTGTGAGGAGCCACCTTGTGGCAGAACATTATTAGGTATCTTATGGCTTGAGAAAAACTTCCAAACCTTATTACCGGTATGTAATGTATAAGTTTTATGTTTCTATGTGGGAAAAAAAGATGACTGTTATATGGTTGAGAATTTAAATATTGTTTTCTTTATATTTATATAAAAATGTAAAGAAAACAATGCATGTCTTTAATATGTAAGGATAATTTAAGTAACTGGGTGATCCTCATACAGAATTTTTATTTTATTTTTTTTATCTGATTACTAGATCAAGATTTTTCATTCTTTTTTCAGATTGCAGAATCTGCTTTTTTTAAAAAAAAAAAAATTCCCGGTCCCCCCCCCCCCAATCTTATAGCAATGTTTTAATGGTAGAAAATTGGCTGTATTCAAGTGATTTATTTCCTTCCTTCCTTCCTTCCTTCCTTCCTTCCTTCCTTCCTTCCTTCCTTCCTTCCTTCCTTCCTTCCTAAAACAGAATAACAAAGAAACTGGTCTGCTCAAGCAAGCAAAGCCCCATTGCGGGATGCAGGCAGCACACGAAACCATGTCCCCTCCAGTCCACAGAAAAACCTCTCTCTATGGAACCAGTCCCTGGTGCTCAAAAGGTTGGGGAATTCTTTTCTAGTCCAACCCACTGCTTAGGCAGGAAACTCTATACCATTTCAGACAAATGGTTGTCCAGTCTCTTCTTAAAAACTTCCAGTGTTGGAGCATTCACAACTTCTGGAGGCAGGTTGTTCCACTGATTAATTATTCTAATTGTCAGGACATTTCTTCTTAGTTTAGGTTGCTTCTCTCCTTGATTAGTTTCCATCCATTGCTTCTTGTCCTGCCTTTAGGTGTTTTGGAGAATAGCTTGACTCCTCTTCTTTATGGCAACCCCAGAGATATTGGAACACTGCTATCATGTCACCCCTAGTCCTTTTTTCTTCATTAAACTAGACATATCCAATTCCTGCAACCGTTCTTTATATGTTTTAGCCTCCAGTTCCCTAATCATCTTTGTTGCTCTTCTCTGCACTCTTTCTAGAGTCTCAACATCTTTTTTTCATCGTGCCAACCAAAACTGGATGCAGTATCTTTCCTTCCTTCCTTCCTTCCTTCCTTCCTTCCTTCCTTCCTTCCTTCCTTCCTTCCGTCCGTCCTGTAGATCCTTAGGATTCCCTAGAATACAGTTTGAAAAACCTGTGCTAGACAATGTGTGAAGTGAAGCTTATAAGCTAAGGGGTTTTGGTTATAGACTCATGGTTTATGTTATCTGTTGTAATAAAACTTCAAAAACAATTCACCCAGGATATTTTTTCCTGTATATTATGATTTCTAAAAACATGCTGTTTTGATAATCCTTATGCTTGAGACATTCTTCACGTGTTTTGCCATGTGAGGACATTTCATGTTTTTCTTTCCAGAAGACATACGGGGCTGTGTAATGAAAATGCAGTGTCTGAATTGGCTCTTGTTGTTGGCTATACCGATTATGAATTTAGATCCTGTGACTTGTCAAACCATCTTCAGAGATTACACGTTTCTTTGATTCTCTTTTGCATTAATTTATTTATGCAAGATTTCTGGGCTCTGAGGTTGGAGTCTTGGATATAATTTTTTTATGCATATAGTATTAGTGCAATCATTACAAAGGAGGATTACCAGGAGTGCGTGGAGCAGAACTTGATATATGTAGTAATGAATGGGTACACTTTATCTTGTTCTATTATTCCATTTATACAAAATTATACTGATGACAAATGTTCATAGGATTTCTATGCCAAGTTGTTTAGAATGTACTGAGCAGTCATTTTTCCACTTTCAGGAAAAGAATCATTATTTACTCCTCGCCTGATCTTTTTAATCTGAATTATATGGTTTGAACTGTTCCCCCCCCATATTTAATTTCATTTTATTGTTTTGGTTTGCTTGGTAGTTGTTCTGAGAATCCTATGTATAGAAATGTAGGATGGAAATATATTGATAAACATTTCATTCCATAAGGAATAGAGCTTCACTGACAGAGATTGTTTTACTGTTTATGGGATTGGAACATTTTTAGTAGATTATAATTCAACATATCTAGAAGGTAACAAGGAGAACACTGGATTCAATGGTTGTAGTATACTTCTATCTTTAAAAGGTGGGTCTTTCAGTTTAAAGTTGATTTCCCAATGAATTTCATAGCAATTCAAGACATAGGGTAATAAATATTTATCTTTGCCATCATGTTAGGTTATATGTCAAAAGCTGTTTGGTGAAATTTTTAAATTTCTTGTTTAATGTAGATCTTCTTTGGATATTGTCTAAAATGTTCAAAATTTCCAAAGAGCAGTGTTTTTTTTCTAAAAAAAAAAAAAAAAAAAGGTGCCGGAACTCACACATACAACTTGCCTTGCCTATCCTACAAGGTTCCATCCAAAAAAGGTCCCGGAACTCCGTTCTGGTCGTTTCTATAAGAAAAAAAGCCCTGCCAAAGAGTATTTAGGACGTAAATCAGTCACCATAGCACCTACTACACAGTGGTAGATTGGTACTTTGGTTCTTTTTTTAGAATTTATGTTTTTGATATAAACTACTGGGAATTTATTTTTTTAGTATGGTGGTATCTAAATATAATAAAATAACCAGTGGATCTAATACTAAAACAACCTGTGGATCTCCAGATGTCTCTCAGTTGATAGTCACGATATATTTGCAGAACAGCAGGTTCAGAAAGGAAATATAGAAAAGTGCATTTTAGTTAGTACTTTTTAAAAAAATCAGTTCATGGAATGGTACTGTAATTATGAACTGCATTCTTATGCAAATCTTTTGAACACAGGAACATTTCAGTTTCCAGCTGTTTTTATCATATGATAGTTTGTTGAACATTTAGCTATAATTTGAAAGTAATAAACATTTCAAGCACAGTATATATAGGATAGAAAAACTATAATAATAGCATATAGTGTGTTTTAAAGAAATAAGACAAAAACTAAAACAACTGTAACAAGAACTAACATTTAGCG